GTCCTAGATGTGATGACTACTCAGTGAATTCGTATTATCTAGCAATGAAACTTTAGTGAAGATCTAAACTAACAAGCAAGCAAAGCAACTAAAGGGTTTTTTCAAGTTAAGAGAGGTCACCCGGATATGGTTCCCCCTAGTCTGCAGTTAAGCCGAATTGTAATTACCAAGTTCGATTTCTATGATAGTTATACTACGGAAGGTTCTCAAACAGTCTGAAGTCTCGACTAAAGGTCTTCAGACCCTCTCAATCTGAGTCTCTAGCGGGCGACTAACCTCCACCGGAGTAAACAGATTGAGGCCCTAACGAACCAAACCTCCACTACCGAATGGAATTCGGTACAGAATAGCAAATTGGCTCCTTGACTAAAGTCACCAATTCGCCACCTTCAATCAAGGATACTCTATTAACCTAGGCAGATATTCTCATTCTAGGTTAAACCAGAAACAACAGGAATTTGATCAGGATTCAAGTCATTCAATCATTCAAACCTCAATCGAATATAATCAAATCATAGAAGCAGTACTTGGGTTCATACAATCAATCCTAACATACAGATCTAGGGTTTCCCATACCCAGATGAATGGGAGAACTACTCCATGGAGAAAGAAGCAAAAGCAGAATCAGACGCGGAAATCATACTGTGAAGATGGATTTCTGCTCCTGGAAGTTGAATCGGCACCTCTCCAAGCTCAAGCCAAGCTCCAATGGTGTTGAAGATCAAGCTAGGGCACTTGGAGACTCTTGTTCGTCGCTCTCTCTCTAGGAATCGTTCTGTCTCTCCAAAACTCGAATCCCCTTCTGTTTTGGCTGAAGTCTGCTTAAAAACCAGAATTCCCCAACTCGCACGGCCAGGGTGCACGGCCGTGCGGCTCACCATCTTGCCCGTGCGGCTCAAAACGCGGCGTACCATTAAGTCGAACTTCAGCCATCTCGCACGGCCAGGATTGCACTTTGCACGGCCGTGCGGATTTCACTTGTGCCCGTGCTTGCTCTCGCACAATCCCGCACGACCAAACTGGTCACTCGCACGGCCGTGCGGGTTTTCTGCTCTGCCCGTGCGTGCTCTCGCACAATCCCGCACGGCCAAACTAGTCACTTGCACGGCCGTGCGGGTTGTGGGTGTGCCCGTGCGACTTCCTCAGAACCTCGCCATGCGTCCGATCCTCGTCCAATCGACCTCAAACTCGCTCCCAAGCCTCCATTCACGTACTAGGACCTGAAATATCATAAACAAGCACAACCTAGCGTGAAATCGGCCTAAAACCCGAGAATCAATACCTCAAACGGAGTAAGAGCAGGGGTAAAAACATGTGTAACTAACGGTCTATCACGTGGCTAACAGAATTGCCTAGTCAGTCAGATTTTATTCGAAAAAAATAAAACCAACCCGACACATCACTTAAACCTGCCACGTCTGTTTTCCCAACCCGTAACCCAACACTCCCCAACCCGAAACCCAACCCTCCCCATCCCGTGACCAAACATCGTCAAATTCCACCAGCCGTCGGCTGATTCCTCGCCGTCGACAGCCACTCCAATATCGTTTGCCTTTGAACTCTCCAATGTCTCTGCCAATTCTCCAAAACTAAACTCAAACATAACAAAACATAACTGATTTGAATCTGGAAACTCCTCGGCAGACAGTGATGAAACTTTCCAATAGCTTCGCCAAATTTGCCACCTCGCCGAGGCTGCCAAAGTGCACGAGGCTGCCAAAGTGCCAATGGAGCCAAGCTCCTCGAAACTGTTCGCGCCGCCATTGTGCTCGATGTTTATGTTCTCTCTGGGGAAGAGGACGCTATTAGGGACGTGTCTTAGTGCCTGTATAATTGTATATCCTTGTCCTAGTGCAACTAGTATTCATTTTTACTTGCTGTACAATGTAACCAATGGGTATAAATATACCCTTGTGCTTTTCAATAATATTCACGCATGGTCACTCGAGCTCAGCATGGTATTTTTAAGCCTAACACTAAATTTCTTGGAGCTACCTCTTCCTCGCAGGTCTCTCCTCCACTTCAACCAACTTCAGTCAAGGAGGCGTTGCGTTATGAGGAGTGGCGCCAAGCTCTTCATGCTGAAAATGATGCACTTCGGGCCAATCATACCTGGGATTTAGTTCCCCGGCGGCCTGATATGAATATTGTTGGCAATCGGTGGGTGTGGCGTGTTAAGCATCATCCTGACGGCTCCATTGAGCGCTTTAAAGTTCGTCTGGTGGCTAAGGGCTTCCATCAGCGCCCCGGTGTGGAATTTTTTGAGACCTACAGCCCTGTCCTCAAACCTGTTACAGTGCGAACGGTTTTCACGGTTGCCCTTTCTCATGGCTGGTCCGTCTCTCAGTTCGACGTCAACAATGCGTTCTTACAAGGTCCTCTTCAAGAAGAAGTCTACATGTCTCAACCTCCGGGCTTCCATGATCCCCAGTTTCCGACTCATGTATGTCGACTTCGACGAGCTATCTATGGTCTACGACAAGCTCCGCGTGCTTGGTATGAGACGCTCAGCTCTTTTCTAGAGACGTGTGGCTTCGTCAAGACTCACTCAGACGCTTCACTTTTTGTCTATCATCGTGGGACGGTCCTTGCTTACTTCTTGATGTATGTCGATGATCTTCTACTCACCGGTAACTCTCCTGAATTTCTTCGGCAGTTTGAAGCTTAGCTCTCGGCGCGTTTTTCTCTCAAAAGCCTTGGTGAGGTTAACTATTTTCTTGGCGTTGAGATCATACCTACCTCGACTGGCTTCTTACTCTCTCAACACAAGTATATAGTTGATCTTCTTCTTCGGTTTCAAATGCATGAGGCGAAACCCACTTCGACTCCTCTTCCGTCCACAGCCCGTCTCAGTCGAGTTGATGGTTCCGCCCCAGCAGATGGATCCCTATATCGTCAAGCCTTGGGAGCGCTTCAGTATCTTCTCACTACTCGACCTGATGTGGCCTTTGCCGTTAATCGGTTGTCTCAGTTCATGCATGCTCCTACGACTCTCCACTGGCAGCATGGAAACGCCTCTTTCGCTATCTGGCTGGCACTCAGTCTGTTGGCCTCCACATTCGCCGGCAGTCCTCACCACTTCAGCTGCGCGTGTTCTCAGATTCAGATTGGGCTGGTGACTCTGATGATCGTACATCTACATCTGGCTTTCTCATCTATCTCGGTGATACCCTCATTTCCTGGAAATCTAAGAAGCAACGTACGGTCGCTCGCTCCAGTACAGAAGCAGAATACCGTGCCATTGCTTTCGCCACCGCAGAGGTTCAATGGTTACGCAACCTCTTGACCGAGCTGCAGCAGCCACTTTCGTCTGCTCCAATCCTTTTCTCTGATAATCTGGGAGCTGTAAACTTCAGTGCTAATCCTGTTTTTCACTCCCGGATGAAGCATCTTGCTCTTGATTACCAATTTGTTCGTCAGCTCGTCCAGGCTCAACAACTTGTCGTTCGCTATGTTCCTACAGCGGCCCAACTAGTTGATGCTCTTACAAAGGCGTTGCCTGTTACTCGCTTCCGTCTGCTATTTTCCAAGATTGGACTTGCTGTCGCAGCCTCCATCTTGCGGGGGCGTATTAGGGACGTGTCTTAGTCCCTGTATAATTGTATATCCTTGTCCTAGTGTAACTAGTATTCATCTTTACTTGCTGTACAATGTAACCAATGGGTATAAATATACCCTTGTGCTTTTCAATAATATTCACGTATTCAAAGCCTAATAGACGCAAGATTCACCTACTCCGAGAGTTTGCGCCGCCACCGAACTCGACCGTTCGTTCATATATGAATTTCAATCCGTAAGGAAGCAGCGCACCGGCGAACTTCGATTCGGTGTTGAGGGTCGATCCGGCGGCGCCACTCGCTAACAAAGAGCGATCCACCAACAAAGGGAGTGCAGCCTCAGATTCCTAGATCCGGCACAGATCTGGAAGGTAGGTAACCGAGTCAGGGGTGACTCAGTAACAAACGCAGAGAGAATCGTCTCTCTTATCTCACTCCTTTCTCAAATACACCGAGGTCGGGAAAATTAAAATGAGGTTTGGGTAGCTGACGCGAAGGGGAACTCGGGGAATTCCGGGCCTGGTTTCGAGGGAGAAGGTCCAGCAATGGCGGTGGATATCAGATACGGAGAGGGAGAAGGTTGGGTTCTTGACGCGAAGGGCAACTCGTGGAATGTCGGGGATGGTTTTGAGGGAGAAGGTCCAGCAATGGCGGCGGGTTTCGAGGGAGGAGGTCCACTAATGGCGGTGGATATCATACACAGAGAGGGAGAAGGTTGGTTTCTTGTCGCAAAGGGGAACTCTGGGAGAGGAAGGGTCAAGAAATGGGGTCGGGTCAGGGGTTTGGTTGGGCCATGTAATGGGTTTAACGTGGAGGTTATTTTGATGTGGCGGGTTGGGTTTTTTTTTTTTTTAGGGTTAAAATTAGGTTACTCAATTTTTCTGTTAGCCACGTCAGCAAAATAGTGACGGTGTAAACGGAGATTGACGAAAAGTAACGGAGAGTGACCAAATTTGGACTGTTTTACTAATTGTAGTGATTAAAAATGAAATTAAATATTTCTAGTGACTAAACATGAACTTTTTAACAATTTCAGTGATGAAACTTGCAATTTACCCGGTATTTTTGGTAGGAAAGTTTTTTTTTCTTCTTTCAAACCCATGAACGTAGGATGCTTTTTGGACTTGCTTGGCCGGAGCTGAAGATCTCTTCTGCTTCCCAAACAAACTGTACCACCTCCAGCTTGCGATCCATTCAAAGTTTGAATGCCCTTTCTCGGACACTAAGGAAACCTGGAAGCAGAGGACAAACGAAACAGAGACCAGATTACAACATATATAAACATCCCAATCCATCCAGCAATCACATTTCATAATAACACAGAGCAGAAACAGTGGAACAAAAATGCTTCCTTGTCATCCGCAGTCAGATCAACACCCAAATCCAGAGCATGCTCTGTTTCCTTCGGCCTCGATCGATCTGTTGAGAGAAAAAACACGCCACATGAACACCCCTGTCACAACCCACGATCCAGAACCCGAAACAGAGGAAGAAATGTCAATGGCGGACATAATCAGAATCGCAGCAGCTAGGTTCATCGATTCTTCCTCCACAGAGCCTGCCGACCCACCAGCATCTGCAAACTCCGACGATGAAAACGACGACGTGGAGCTCGTGCTCCACCTCCTGCGCGCCGCCGATGAATTGGACCACAAGCAGTACGAGCAAGCGGCTCACTCCCTCGACCTCTGCGAATTACTGTCCTCCGAGGCAGGGGATCTCACCCAGAGAGTCACTCACTACTTCGTCCAAGCGCTTCGCGAGAAGATTCGCAACGAAACAGCAGCAGCAGCAGCAGCAACCCAGCAGCCGAAACCCGATCTCATCGACGAATTGAAACGATTAAACCTCGAAGAGGCGGTCACCGCCACATGCCCATTAGTCGGAGTCATGTACGAGAAAATCCCCTTCTTTCAAATCGGCCAGCTCGCCGGTGTCCAGGCGATCGTCGAAACCGTGGAGGAATCGAAAAGGGTTCACATAATCGATTTCAGAATCAGAAACGGGATACAATGGACGGCTCTAATGCAGGCTCTGTCCCCTTCCTCGGGGAGACGGCGTGTCACTCTGGAGATTCTGAAAATCACGGCCATCGTCACGGTTTCGGAAAATTTGGTCCGCGAAACAGGGGAAAGGCTAGCGAAGTTCGCCGAATCGATGAATATACCCTTCTCGTTTAACTCCATCGTGGTATCGAGCTTGATCGAAATCGACGAGACGAAATTCGACCTCGATCCCAACGAAACCGTGGCTGTTTTCAGCGAGTACGCATTGCAGAGTCTGATTCCCGACCCGAATCAGCTGGATGCGTTGATGACGGTCGTGAAGAACATCCAGCCGGGGATAATGGTGGTGATCGAAACAGAGTGTAATCTCAATTCGTCGAATTTCGGTCGGAGGTTCGTGGAAGTTCTGTTCCACTATGGCGCCTACTTCGATTGCGTGGATGCTTGTCTGGAAGGGGGAGATGGTGGCGGGGAAAGGGGTTTGATGGAGTCGATGTTCTTGAGCCGGATTGTGACGGGGCTCTTGGTGAAGGAGGGAAAAGACATGGCGAAGTTCGTGACGGTGGATGTTTGGAGGAAGTTTCTGAGTCGGTTTTCGATGTGGGAGGTCCGGTTGAGCTCGTCGGCGATGTACGTTGTGAATCTGTTGCTGGAGAGGTTTGCCGGAGGGAAGTGTTGTACGTTGGACAGGGATGGAGAAAGCATGATTGTTGGGTGGAAAGGGACGCCCATGTTCTCGCTTGCTACTTGGAAGTTCCTCCAGTTCAAAACCACTGAACCTAACCCAGAAGAAGAAGAGAAAGAAGACGACTCGGAATCCATTATATCATAACTGAGTTTTGCCTCCATTTCCATTTTATAAGTAAGGACCAAAGAATGTAATGCTTGCTTGTGCTACTATTCACTCGAATCCGATGGTTAGAGAACAGCTAAAAGAACTGCAGTCAAGTGTGTTGTAACGGATTGGAAAATGGATAATGTAAGAAAGTAAGTAAAAAACAATGCGCGGATGGTGAAGGTGCGGAGAGGTTTTTGATGGAGTTGATATTCTTGAACGAACATGTGAGGGAGATTTTGTTGAAGGACCGGGAGGAAAGGGCGAGGTATGTGAAGGAAGTTCTTTAGCTGGTTCTGGATGTGCGAGATGTGGCCGAGTTCATCAGTAATACATACTCTGTTAGTAAACGGTTTATTATCAATAATTGGACATCTTTCAAGTTTCAACCATTAGAGTTATTGAGGTCAGTTGGTTTATGACATGGTATGAGAGTGTTCTGTGAATGAGAGGTGTTTTGTTCGAATTTCGATGACCCTCGTTAGGGGTGGGCGTTCGGTCGGTTCGGTTAAACCGAACCGAACAAGGTTATCCCGAATTTTCGAACTTTCCATCGCCCCGACCGAATTCGAACCGAGCTGTAATTCGGTTTGGTTCGACCGAACCGATTTACAACTCGGTTCGGATGCTCAAACCGAAACACCTCTGCTGCCCCTTTTTGTCTGCTGTTTTTTTTTTTTAAATTTGACATGAGCTGGCTGCTCATTGGTCAGTGTTGACGTCGCCGTGCTCGGGGCTCGGGCAGTGGAGACTCGGCAGCTGGTGGATTGCGAGAGGGGGGCGAGCAGGATCGAGCACGAGCAGTGAGGTTGAGGGGTGTTGACGTCGCCGTGCTCGGGGCTCGGGCAGTGGAGCTGTGGAGGAGGCGTCGGAACTCGGAAGTCGGAATCCGACGTTCCCTCTGCCTTCTCGCGATTTCGTCAGTCAGATTTGGTTGGGAGTGGGAGAGGTGAGAGGTCGATTCGACTGTCGAGGGTCGGGGTCTAGGGGAGGGAGAGCCGGAGAGGCCTTGGGTTGGGGCGCCGTCGGGGAAACGGCGAAACGCCGTCGGGGAGAGGCCGTCGAGCGTCGTCGCTGCTGGGCGCTTGCTGGCGGCTGCGGCCTGCGGTGCGGCGGCTGCTGCTTCGAGAGTGGAGGAGGCTGGCGGTGGCGGAGGGACTGAGAAGTGAGAAGTGAGAAGGGTCGGGGCGTCGGCGGGTTTCAGTCTCTCGTCTCTCAGACTCAGAGAAGTGAAGGAAGGAAGTGGAACCAATCCTTAGGGTTTTCTCCAACTGTGGGCTGTCAGCTGGGCTTTACTTAGGGGTTTGGGGTAAGGAGGTTGGGCTTGGGTTGGGTGGGTAGTAGGCTTGGCCTGCTGAAGTCTTTCCAGGGTTGGGTTAATGGATCATTGGGTTGGGCCTTTTAATTTCGGTAATTCGGTCGGTTTTTCGGTTTTTTCGGTTCGGTTTAAACGAAGTTGGCTCCCGAATTGTTGGCAATTCGCATCCGAACGCCGAACCTAACAAGGTAAAGTTCGGTTTCGGTCGGTTCTTGCTCGGTTCGGTTCGGTTCGGTAAAACTGAACCTCATGCCCACCCCTAACCCTCGTTTGTTCTATTAAGCACATGATATCCGGACCTGTACAACTTGACTAGATGAATTAAATCAGTTTAAGTAGGAAAGTGAATATGGACTTTTTTTAGCTATTTTAGAGCATCCATGGCATGGGGACTCCATTTATAACACTATGAAGCCAACCATCAAGAAACTTATATTATGAGTATGACAACCTACTTCTTAAGCCATTTGCTTCTGGCCCTTTTCATGGACTTTGGACCTGACACTTTGTAGGCCTTTTGCATAATACCCAATCAGCTAGGGGTGGCAGCCGGCCGGTTTTGTTTAACCAAAAACCGAATTCTCGATTATCGGTTAAACCGAGACACCCAACACGACTGCCGACCACCGACCGTGAGAGAGCCACGACTAACCGATCACCGACTGATCGGTTTTCGGGTTTAGGCTCAGTTAACCACATACCCGAAAAAAATACCCATTCCCTCTAAAATGTCAGCTTTTAGCTAATTAAAAAAAAACCCAGACATATCCTCCACCACACAATCCTTATCTTCTTCCTTCTGTCTCCTACACAATATTATCTCCTTCCATTTTTTCAAACCCACAAGCCACCACACAAACCTAAATACCTTATCTCCTTCCTTCTCTCACCTTCCTTCAAATTCCAGCAATCTTATATTCCTTCCATTAGCCTCCAATTCACAGACTTGGCAAGGGTCGCGCCGTCGCGGGGGAGGGAGATGGGGGACTGGGCGAATGACAGTGGTTGATGATTGAGCCGCGGGGGATTGCTGGAACCGGCGGGGGAGGGAGATGGCGGACTTGCGAGTTGGCGGCCGGCGAGGGAGGGAGATGGCGGACTGGCGAGCCGGAGGCCGACGTGGGAGGTGGTTGCTGTTGCCGGCGGTCACAGGGCTGGATCCCGGGACGGTAGCCGGGGATCGCGCAAGGTTGTCGGGGTGTCGCGGGGGTCGCCGGGAGACGACGTTCATCGGGCGCCGTCGATGGTTTGGCCGTCTGGATTGGATGGTGGAGACGGAGGGGGGTGGTTGCTGGTGGTGACTGGTGAGGGAAGGGAGGGATCGAGGTCGACGAAGGAGGATAGGGTTTGGGGTGGGCTGGGGGTAGTTTCTTTAGGATAAATACTTGGTCGTTTAGGGTAGGACAGTAGCGTTTGGGCGCGGATTTTCAGCGATCGGTTAGCCCCGGTTAGCCGATTTCAGTTGCTCGGCTAGCCGACGCTCCTACCAGCCGCTCCGACCACCGACCGAGGCTTTATACAGCTAGTTTTCGGTTAGCCGTTAACCGACGGTTATCGGTCTAACCGATCGATTAGCCGCTAACCGACAACCGAACTGCCACCCCTACAATCAGCAACAACTAGATGGTCATCATCTTCCCATTCGCATTATCCCGAACCGGTCGACTAGTTGTGTGCCGGAAAAAGGTGACGACGATGAAGAATGCTGGATCTTTGGTAAAGCCCTCCCAATTCCGGGTAAACCCATTAATTCTGACCTATTTTATGTATCGAATTATCATTGGTTCAACATTTATGCGATTTGCAATTAACTTTTGGAAAAATCCACTTTCACAGCTATAATTTTCACGTTTGTGATCTAGTCACAAATTCCAAAAAACACAAAATGGACAATTCCGTCCATTTAATAGTGTCATCTTACTTACTAATTGTACTGACTTTTTTTGCTAACGTAGTGCTTTTTCGTCAAAAAATCATGTCAGGGTAAGAATGCTTATTTTTTTATTATGATTAAATTAAATTAAAAAACAAAAACAACATAAAACAAAATTGATCCCTGATCTCCCCCTCCGCCATCCCCAATTCCACCATGAGATTTTGTATCCTCTCTTCAAGCTTTCTGTCACGACTATTTCTCTGCGGATCGAGAAATTGGAGGATTCGACAATGCAAGAAAACGAAAGCGCACACACACGACACACAATTTAAGTGGTTCACTAACACAATGTGTGTTAGCTAGTCCACAGATAGGAGAGAGCTAGTTTCACTATACTTCAAGGAGATACAAATTACAGAGGAGTATGAGAAGTATTTATAGTACTTCTCCAAAGTCTAACCCTAATCTAATATGGTAAAGGAAAATCAGTTACAGACCAAGCCCATGACACGAACCTAACACAACATTGAGCCCATACACCGCGAGCCGGGGACGTAGCGGCTGATAGTCCGATTCAAGTCACACCAACACTTTTCAAAATCAAAGGAAAAATTATCTATCCTCTAATCCCCCTCACAATCGAATAAAGGTCATCATCATTAGAAATCAGTTCTATTTTCCCTCGACTCGTCGACAATTGCCTATCCTAGACATTGGCACATTGCCCCACTCGTCGTCAGAAGATGGATCGATGCTGGGTTTGGAAAGAAGTTGACGACAGGGAGCGGCAATCGTAGATGGAGGAGTCACAGACGAACCCAGAAGCAAATTGATGAATAGAGAATGACATACCAGAACCCTCTACTATTCAAATTGAGTATCTGGAAAAATCAAGAACATCATCAATCTTCACTTTCTCCCTACACAAACCCTAACACCAACCAGACCCATAAATCAATGGCCTCCACCTGCAGAACTGTCGGCTTCTCTGTGGGACCCACCTCCTCTCTCACCACTATTACAAGTCAAGTTGTAACGATTGGGGCTCAATTGTAAATAGATAATAATGGGGATTGACCTAATTGTGACACGAGCAAACTTAGAGTGACCAAATTGTAATTGCAGGAAGTATAAAACTAAGAAACTCTGAACAACGGATAATAACAAACTTTCTCACCTTCCCCCCTCTCTCTTCCCTGTCCTTTCTCTCTCTTGTTCTTCCACTTTCCCAACCCTTCTTTCAATTTCTAGCTACCAATAGAGCCGAGTGATGAGCCCACAAGTCATTCAGATCGGCCCATCTCCCGCTCAGCTCGTGCACCACAGCCCAAACCCTGCTACTGAGTTTACGCGTAGGCCGGTCCGATCACAGAACAAGCTCGCCCTTGTAGAGTTTCGGTTTGTTTTAGTATTGTTAGTAAGGTTGAATAGGTCAACATAGTTGTTAGCGTTAGTGGGTAGTGGAATAAGTTTCTCCATATTTTGTGGAGAAAGTTGAGTAGTAATAGCAGCACCTGTAGCGTGGAGTTAGTTCCACTAAGTAGATAGGTCTTTTTCATTGTGTATTTAAGTTGAGATTGGATTCAATAAAAGTAAGCAGAAAATTAGTAGAAGAAACCCTGGTAACCTCTCGCCAAGAAAAGAGAGAACTGGTTCAATCCCGCCAAGAAAAGGGATCCATTCACTCATACGATTTCAACTCGTATCATTTGGTATCAGAGCCGTCGATCCGTGTTTCGATGATGACGAACTCAGAGAAACCATCAAGAGATGAACTCATCAATCTGATGATGACATCTTTGG